GCTGCTGTCCAGGCTGGTGTACTCTCTGGTGATCAAGATACAGGTAGGTCACTGTCACTGCCTCTTCACTTGCTTCAGTAGTTTGATGAGAAGATGCTGTTGCTTTAGAAAACAGAATGTGAGCAACAGGGTCACACAACTAATAAAGAGGCAGTGAATACAAGATGGTGGGCTTAAGATAATTACCAGCTATTTAATTTGTCCTAAAGTGTTTGTGCTTAGTTAGAACCTAAGCAAATGGCAAAATGGGAAAGATAAACTTGGTTCATGGAGAGATTGCTTGGCAGTACTCTGATGGCCTGAATTAGAACCTAACTTGATTTTCCTTTGCCAGGTGATCTGGTTCTGCTTGATGTGTGTCCCCTTACACTTGGTATTGAAACTGTGGGAGGTGTCATGACCAAACTGATTCCAAGGAACACTGTGGTACCTACCAAGAAGTCTCAGATCTTTTCTACAGCTTCTGATAATCAGCCAACTGTTACAATCAAGGTCTATGAAGGTAATTACTTATATTTGCCCATATGGTGGTATGTTTTTAGAAGAATGTGGTTTAATATACATTATTAAAATGCCCAGGGAAAGAATTGCTTTCTGTCACTCAAATGGAGAGGTTGCTTAATTTGGCTAGTGTTGAGCAGTTATCCTAGCTATTTTAGCACTCTTGCCCATTACCTTCTGAAATCGAAGAACAAGAAAAAGGGGTGCTATTAAAGATGAAATTCAGTTAAAGTCAGAACCAATTTTGTTACTTTTTTTCAATAAAGTACCCTTTTCCCACTGTAGTCTTAAGAGATGAAAATTAGGATGCAGGTGTACTAATGCTTGTCAGTAACAAGTTTTTCCTGTGTGTTTTTCACTTCTAGGTGAACGACCCTTGACAAAAGACAATCATCTTCTGGGTACATTTGATCTGACTGGAATTCCTCCTGCTCCTCGTGGAGTGCCCCAAATAGAAGTCACCTTTGAGATAGATGTGAATGGCATTCTGCGAGTGACAGCTGAGGACAAGGGTACAGGAAACAAAAATAAGATCACAATTACAAATGACCAAAATCGCCTGACACCTGAAGAGATTGAAAGGATGGTTAATGATGCTGAGAAATTTGCTGAGGAAGACAAAAAGCTGAAGGAGCGCATTGATACCAGGAATGAGTTGGAAAGCTATGCCTACTCTCTCAAGAATCAGATTGGGGATAAAGAAAAGCTGGGAGGTAAACTTTCCTCTGAAGATAAAGAGACCATGGAAAAAGCTGTAGAGGAAAAGATTGAATGGCTGGAAAGCCATCAGGATGCTGACATTGAAGACTTTAAAGCTAAAAAGAAGGAGCTAGAAGAAATTGTTCAACCAATTATCAGCAAACTCTATGGAAGTGCAGGCCCTCCCCCAACTGGTGAAGAGGATACATCAGAAAAAGATGAGTTGTAGGCACCGATCTGCTAGGGCTGTAATATTGTAAATACTGGACTCAGGAACTTTCGTTAGGAGAAAATTGAGAGAACTTAAGTCTCGAATGTAATTGGAATCTTCACCTCAGAGTGGAGTTGAAAATGATATAGCCCAAGTGGCTGTTTACTGCTTTTCATTAGCAGTTGCTCACATGTCTTGGGGTCAGGGCGAGGAGGAATTGGCTATCTTAAAAATTAAAAAGCTGGGTCAGGGTGTGTGTTCACCTTGGAAATGTATTTAACAATTGGGTCATGCACATCTGGTGTAGGAACTCTTTTCTACCATAAGTGACACCAATAAATGTTTGTTATTTACACTGGTCTAATTTTTTGTGGGAAGATTCTAGTATTAAATCTTTTAGGAAGATAACTAAATTTGAAGGCTAGATTTTGAGTTGTATATCTGGGTATGTTGGGTGGGTGTGCTACTTCCTGGGAATTTGTCTAGCTTTATGGCAAGGCAAAGAGGTACTTAATATTCTTCCCCTAGGCCAGGGCCATTTTACAATGCATTTGTCTTGAGCATAACTGAAATCTTACTTCCCCTTTGTAAAATTGCTGGTGGTTTTTATTAGTAGTGATGTGTGATCTCTTGAAGGATAGATGAGTTACCAGTGTTGTTAATTCTAGGCTGAGGCTGCTAAGTTCAAGGCCACTGTGGGCAACTTAAAACTGTCTCAAAATGCAGGGCCCGTGGTGGTGCACGCTTTTAATCCCAGCACTTGGGAGGCAGAGATAGGCGGATCTTTCTGAGTTTGAGGCCAGCCTGGTCTACATAGTGAGTTCTAAGATAGCTGAGGCTACGGAGAGACCCTGTCTCAAAAAGAAAAAAAAAAAAAAAAAAAAAAAAAAAAAAAAAAAAAAAAAACAAAAGATACAAAAAAAACTTAGATATAGCTCAGTGGTGGGAACATTGCCTAGCAAGTGTGAAGCCCAGGGTTCAATCCCCAGTACTGATGTCTAATGCCAGTTTCACACACTTGCATGTATTTTATGGTGTACCTAGGGTCTTAAACATGCCCAAAAGGGTATCGGGCTAGATTTAATGTCTACTTTTAAGATGCTACTTTGAGGTCTGAGGATATTAGCTCAGTTGGTAGAGCACTTGACTAGCATGTGTGAAGTCCTGGGTGTGATTCTCAGCACTGCATACTGGGTGTGCTGGTAGCTCAAGACTGGATGCAGGAGGATTAAATACCAGCTTCAGCTACATCTTTTGAGGTCAGGCTACGTGTGCCAAAAAAGTACACAAAAACACTTTGAAGCCCAGTCTGAACTTCCATTCCTGAAATTTCTCAGTGGTACTGTGGTGGGATGTAAATACAACCCTGAGGTTGCATTAAACTTTGAATTTGAGAGTTGGTTCATCATGACTGCTCAGGGTTTAGATTGGCTTCCTTAGAAAAGGGTGTTTTGGGTGAATAATTAGTATGATCACTAAAGATCTTGTCTGATGCTAACATGAAATTTGTCCAAAGAGGAGTATTTTTGTTTTTTGGTCTTTTTGAGACAGGGTCTTCTGTAGCCACAACTGGCCATAAACCTGGCCCCACCTGCCTGTGCCTCCCAAGTGCTGGAATTAAAGCATGTACCACCATGCTCTGTTCAAGGGTGTATATTTTAAAGCTGGGCAACCAACTGAAAGATGTGCTAAGAATGGTAGATTGGGACCTGACACCAACCCTGACTTACTGTTCTGTACTACCTCAAAAATAATCTGAACCCAGCATGGTGGTTTACACCAATAATCCCAACACTCAGGAGGCTAGCTGTAGTAGGATTGCATTGAATTTAAGGCTACAATTTGAGAGCCTATCTTTTTCTGCCCTGTTCCAATTTACCCTCTGATAAAAATAGCAAGGCAGGGGACTAGAGAGATGGCTCAATGGTTAAGAGCACTGACTGCTCATGCAGAGGACCCGGGTTTGATTCCCAGCACCCACATGGCAGCTATGAACCGTCCTTAACTCCAGTTCTAGGGGAATCTGAAACCCTCTTCTGACCTCCATGACATTGCACGACATGGGTGCACTTACACACAGGCAGTCAATACACGCATATACATTAAAAAAAAAAAAAAAAAAAGGCATAGAGCAGGGCATGGTATTATGTACCTGTAGTCACAACACTGAGAGGTTGGTGCAGGATTATCTAGGCTACATGGTGATACCTTGTCTCAAAAGCAGGCCTGGAGTGTAACATAAATCTGCAGGCCAAGCCCAATCAAATGTTAAAATTGACCATGCTGAGTTAGGGGGTGGTTAGGCATAACAGTATTCCTCTCTGTCCCCCAAGGCTACCACTATTTTCTGTGCTTTTTTTCTGAAAAGTTGATGCATGTTAAAGAGAGGCTCCAACTGGAAAATGTCCACGCATTACCTACAAATTGTGTATCTATAGGTACTAGAATCTATAGAATCTAGTTGTCTAATAGATTTTGATGGCAAACCTTCATAATGGGATTTTTTGCACTGGGATATCTGGTTCACTAAATAGGTAAGAGCAAGATTGGATGTATTGTTTTGAGGTCTCCCTGTAGCCTCAGCTGGCCTGTAATTCTCTAGTCCAGGCTGGCCTTGATCTCATAGAGATCTTCTACCTCTGCCTCCCAAATGCTGGGATTAAAGGCATGTACCACCATGCCTGGCTCTCCATACTTTTTAAAAGTTTTTTAAAAAACATTTTGTGTATGCATGCCACAGCAGGCATATGGAGATCAACTTGCTACCTGCTACCATGCCCCACTCTCTGCCCTTGCCCAATTGTTTTTTTTGGAGTTGAAAGAATCTCATATGTATACTTGAATTTGTTGCAGTCCAGCCTCAGCCAGCCTCCTGAGTGTTGGGATTACTGGTGTGTACCACCACACTGGGCTCAAAATATTTTTGAGGTTGTGCAGAAGTATGAACTTGGTTCTCTCTTTATACTGCGTGGGTTCAGATTGTCAGGCTTGACGGCAGGTGCCTTAACCTGCTGATCAATCTCGAAGGCCCTTGATTTGGTTTTGTTGAGCCAGGGTCCTGTGTAGCCTAGGCTAGCCTCAAAACTTATTATGTTGCTTAAATTGGCACTGAACTGATCCTGATCCCTCTACCTCCCAAGTGGGATTATAGGTGTGCACCACCACAACTAGTTAAGAGGGCTACCTTGTGCAGAAAACAGCTGAGGTTTCACTTTATTTTTTATTTTTATTTTTGGTCTTTTTGAGACAGGTCTCCCTGTAGCTTCAGCTGGCCTGGAGCTCATTCTGTAGACTTAGGCTGGCCTTGAACTCACAGAGCTCTGCCTGCTTCTACCTTCAGAGTGCTGGGATTAAAGACATGCGCCACCACTCTTCACTTTTAAAACTGTGTATGAGTGTTTTGCCTGCATATATGTATGTGCACCACGTGTGTGCCTGGTACCCAAGGAAGCAAGAAGAGATTGTTGGATCTGGAAATGGAGTTAAGGACCAGTGTTAGCTGCTATGTGGGTGCTAAGAAACAAATCGGGGTCCTCTGCAAGAGTAGTAAGTGCTCTTCTGAGCCGTGTCCTTAGCCTGCTCACTTGTATAAAAGTAATAAAAAATGTGAGTTTTATTAGTCAACTACAGTCACGATACAATCACCATAGATTTCTCCTTCTGTACTCATCCCACCAAACACAAAACAGAGCAATATGTCAGTTGGACTTTCCTCATGTGACCCACCACCCTGGGTCACTCGCTTGTCAGCAGCATCGCCTTTCTCAGCTTCCCAGTTCAGAGACACACAATTGGAGTTTTCTTTCTCAGAGGTGGATGTCACCGGCCATGGAATGACACACATGGAGTGGTCCAGTCGTCCAGGAGGTAGGAAAGCATCAAACTGAAGTAAGGTCCAGTGCTGCTTTTCTGTTAGGGAATAGAACAAAGGCTCACAGTAAGAAATTTCCACAAATACTCAGTGATTTACTGTGTCAGCGGAACCACAAACGAAATAAAAGGGAAAAAAATAGACTGGGTCTGATGGTGCACACCTGTATCTTACCATTCAGGAAGATTGCTGTGACCTCTACACCAGCCAGGGCTATATAGTGAGTCCCTGTTTGCTGCTGTTTGTTTTTGAGACAGGGTCTTCCCTGTAGCCCTGGCTGGCCTGGAATTTGCTATGAAGACCAGGCTGGCTGTAAGGTCACAGAGATCTGCCTCTGCCTCCTGAGTTCAGGGAAACCTGTTGTTTTGTTGGGTTGTTTTGTTTTTAAGACAGGAGCCTATTCTGTGGCCTAGGCTGGCCTAGAAGTAACTATATAACCCAGGCTGGCCTTTAACTCTCAGCAATCCTCCTGCCTCAGACCCCCAAATACTGGATTACAAGCATGAGCTGCCACACCTGGCTTCCTGTTACTATTTTTTAAATTTTTTATTATTTTTTATTTTATGTGTATGAGTATATTGCCTGCATGTATGTAAGTGCACTTGTGTTGTGCAATGCCTGTAGAGGTCAGAAGAAGGTGTCAAGTTCCTCTGGATCTGGAGTTAATTGGCAGTTGTTAGCTGTCATGTGGGTGCTGGAATTGAACCTGGATCCTCTGCAAGAGCAACTAGTGCTCTTAACTGCTGAGCCATTTCTCCAGCCCCTCCTGTTACTATTTTAATGATACTACTCTGTAGTGTTCAGTCCTTTAGATTTATTTCAATTAATTGTGTGTGTATATATTGGGGGAGGGGGGGAGAGGAGGACATCAGATATCTTCCTCAACGGCTCTCTCCCTTTGAGATAGGGTTTCTCACTGAACCAGAAGTTCACAGTTTCAGCTAGGCTGGCTGGCCAATAAGTTCTGGGGGTCTGCCTTTCTGTGCCCCGCCCCAATGCTAGGGTTACAGGCACACACGGCCATGGGTGCTAGGAGTCACACTCAGTTCCTCATGCTTGCACAGTAAGCACTCAGACACTAAGCCATTGCCCCAGCCTTTCCTTTGGGTTTAGACATGGAGGTACTAAATTAGAAAACACAAAGCCCCATATCACTTTTCATAGAATGTTTATATTTGTTTAAAGACCAGGAGTGATACCTGCTCACCTGTGTGATATTGGTACATTGTATCCAGTGCTCCTGTGGGAGTCATTCCTCCGAAAACATACACATGTTTTCCCACAGCCACGGCTGAGTGGGCAGCACAGCCTGCTGGCACAGCCCCTGTGGGACTGAGTTTCTGCCATTTCATGTCACCTGCCAAAAGAAAGAGTTTTGATGCATGTTAAAATGGGGTTTTAGGCCAGGTATGGTGGCACACACCCTTAATCCCAGCACTTGGGTTAGGATGCACATGGTCCTGGGTTTGATCCCCTGTAATGCAGAATAAATAAATAAATAATAAAATAAAGCATCCCAGGGGCTGGAGAGATGGCTCAGCAAGAGCCTCTGCTATTGCAGAGGACCCAGGTTTGGTTACCACTACCCACATGGCAGCTAACAACCATCCATAACTCCAGTTCCAGGGGGTCCTAGGTCCTCTTCTGACATAGGTTAACTTGCATACATGCAGGCGATACACTCATACACAGAAAATAAAAATAATAATTTTTTTTTTTGGTCTTTTTGAGGAAGGGTCTCCCTGTACCCCCAGCTGTCCTAGAACTCACTATGTAGACCAGGCTGGCCTCAAACTCACAGAGATCCGCCTGCCTCTGCCTCCCAAGTGCTGGGATTAAGGGCGTGCGCCACCTCACCTGGCTAATAAAATTTTATTTTAAAAATTATATTTTGAGGCTGGAGAGATAACTCGGGTTAAGAGCACTGACTGCTCTCACAGGGGACTCGGGTTCAATTCCCAGCACCCACATGGTGGCTATGAACTGTCCTTAACTCCATTTACAGGGGAATCTGAAGCCCTCTTCTGACCTCCATGGCATTACATGACACAGGTGCACTCACATACATGCAGGCAATACACTTGTACACATAAAATAAAAATAAATAAAATATTTAAAAAAATTATATTCATGAAATTAAACCTTGCATTGTCTCCATCTCCCCTGCTCTGTGTCCAAGAGATATGGAACAGCCTCTTCTGTCCTATGCGGTCATTGCACCCTATACGGGTGCACTTACCTACATGCAGGCAATACAAACATACACATAAAATAAAATATTTTTTAAGAAGGCAGAGAAAGGCGGATCTCTGTGAGTTCAAGGCCAGCCTGGTCTACATAGTGAGTTCCAGGACAGCTGGGGCTACAGGGAGACCCTGTCTCAAAAAGACCAAAAAAATATATATAAAAAAAAATTATATTTTATGTGTAGGAGTGTTTTGCTGCAGGTGTCAGATCCCCTGGAACTGAAGTTATGGATGGATGTTAGCTGCCATGTGGATGCTGGGAATTGAACTAATGTCTTCTGCAAGAGCAGCCAGTGCTCTTAACTGCTGAGCCATCTCTCCAGCCCCAATTGTTATTATTTCTTATTATTCAGGTCACAACCAACAGAGTCTAGTGAAGATTCAGCCAGGTGGTAAAATTACCAATTCAGAAGCACAAAGCTGAATTTTTTCAAAGCACATGTTTAAAATTTTTGAATATGCCAGGTGTGGTGGTGCATACCTTTAGTCCCAGCACTCAGGAGGCAAAGGCAGGCGGTGCTCTGTGAGTTCAAGGCCAGCCTGGTCTACATAGCGAGTTCCAGGCCAGCTGGGGCTACAGGGAGATCCAAAAAAAAAAAAGACCAAAAAAAAAAATTTTTTTTTTAATACATAAAACCCCATGCCCTCTAACTACTTACTTATATCAATGCAATGGAGGTCATCAAAGAATGTGTCCCCCGCCAAGCCTCCATGAATAAAGAGCTTTGTCCCTGCTGCCACCATCACATGGCCATGTCGGGGAGATGGAGGATTTCCAAGCGTCTCTGCTTGGGACCAGGTCAGAGTGTCTACAAAAGTAAAAGCATTAATACCAAGTGGTATACGTCTCTATCACCTCCCAGCAAGCAAAGATGCTCCAAGCAGGAGGTAAGCTTGGAGTCTTTTGCTCCCACTTACATCCCAAGCACATCTCCATCCCCCTACACAGCCTCTCCTTGGACACTTTCAGGGCTGCAGAGCCTCCTATCTAGCATGCTGGCCCCATCTCTTGGGTATTAGGAAGCCATTTCTTGGTCTGGATTGAAAAAGATCTCCCCCTAAGCTTTAACCCAGAACTACTCCAAAGTTTAAACTGCTAAGGCCCTGCTCTACTCTACTACTGAGCTACATTCAGTCCAAAGGCATCATTATTTTTTTTTCTTTTTCTTTTTAAGTATCCAAGGCTAGGCTTGATCTCTTTTTAAAAAAAAATTTTTTTGTCTTTTTGAGACAGGGTCTCCCTGTAGCCCCAGCTGACCTGAACTCACTATGTAGACCAGGGTGGCCTTGAACTCACAAAGATCTGCCTGCCTCTGCCTCCCAAGTGCTGGGACTAAAGGCATGTGCCACCAAGCCTGGCCTTATTTATTATTTTTATTTTATATGTATGAGTCTATTGCCTGCATGGAGGTAAGTGTACCTGTGTCCATGCAATACCCATGTAGGACAGAAGAGGCTATCAGATTCCCTGGAACTGGAGTTACAGACTGCTGTTAGTTGCCATGTGGGTGCTGAGATTTGAACCCAGGTCTTCTGAAAGAACAACCAGTGTTCTTAATCGTTAAGCCATCTCTCCAGCCCCCAGGCTTGATCTCTTAAGTGCTTGAATTACAGACATGTGCCACCATGCCTGGTTTATGCAGTACTAGGGACTGAACCCAGGGCTTGGTGTATGCAAATATTCTACCAAGTAAACTATGCCTCTAGCCTCAAAATCTTCTTTCTTTTTTTTAAAAAAATGATCTTGCCGGGCGTGGTGGCACAGGCCTTTAATCCCAGCACTTGGAAGGCAGAGGCAGGTGGATCTGTGAGTTGAAGGCTAGCCTGGTCTACATAGTGAGTTCCAGGACAGCTGGGGCTACAAGGAGACCCTGTCTCAAAAACACACACACACACACAAATAATAATAATCTCCTTGGGGGTGTAGAGATGGCTCAGAAGTTAAGAGCATTGACTGTTCTTGCAGAGGACCCAGGTTCGATTCCCAGAACCCACATGGCAGCTATGAACCATCCTTAACTCCAGTTCCAGGGGAATCCTAAGGCCTCTTCTGACCTCCGAGGTATTGCACGACATAGGTGCACTCACATACATGCAGGCAATGCATTCGTACACATAAAATAAAAATAAAAATAAAAAAAGAAAAGCATATTGAGACTCAGCTAGATACAAACAACAGACAGCAATCACTAGAGGCTAAATGCAGATGTCCCCACACAAGTGAATGGAAAGGGAAATAAAAGAAGGAACTGCACAACACAGGTGCACACACAGGTAATACACACACACATATAAAATAATAAATAAAAAAATATAAAAAAACTTCTTAACTGATTTGCTTAATAGGTAAGGAGACATTACTTTTAAATCACAATTATCAGGAGTTGGGCATTAAAAGTGGCACACACTTTTAATCCCAGCACTGGGGAGCAGAGGCAGGCAGACCTGTGTGAGTTTGAAGCCAGGCTGCCAGTACTACATAGTGAGACCCAATCTCAAAAAAAGAGAAAAACCAGGGGGCTGAGGATGTGACTCAGTTCAAAGAGTGCTTATCTAGCATTTACAGAGCCTTTGGTTTGATTCCCAGAATGTATAAGCTTGACATGGTGTAATTTCAGCACTTGGGAGGTAGAGACAGGAGGATCAGAAGTTCAAGGTCATCCTCAGCTACATAGTAAGTTTAAATCAGCCTGGGATACCTGAGACCCTGTCTCAAAAAACTAAAACAAGGGCTGGATAGATGGCTCAGCAGTTAAGAGCACTAGCTGCTCTGGCAGAGGACCCAGCACCAACATGGCGGCAAACAACCACCCATAACTATAGTTCCAAGGGATCTGATGCCTTCTTCTGACCTCCACAGGCCTTGCACGACATGAGTGCCCTTATACACATGCAGGCAATACACTCATATACATAAAATAAAAATAATAAAATATTTTAAAATAATAATAAAATATTTAAAAAAGAAACAAAAGTTAGCAAGACTGTTTTCTTTTAAAAAGCGGTCTTACGGGGCTGGAG